TGTGTGGGGTGTGTGGAGTGGGGAGGTGTGTGGAGTGATGAGGCTTCCTAAAAACGCTGCAGGGTTTCTCAAACATGATGAATGAGTCAGAGCAAGGCTTTGGGCATGTTTTTATGAGAGTATAACATTATAACATGATATAAAACTCAAAAAAGTTGATTTTACATGATATTGCCCCTTTAAAATTTGTTTGACTTCCTGGTCACACCCCTGGAGGCGGTACCTTTTACATCAGACGTTAGAACTTAACACAGTTTTGTTTATGCAGACACACCAACTTTCATTCTCTGTTCAAACCATACGGCCGTAATGATCAGAAAGTGTAAAAATACAAATATTGGATCTAACATTCAGTTAATCATTAACAAAATTTCCTTCAGCCTTTTTAATCACTCCATGTTGGAACAAGGGTCATTTAGAGGAACTTTACTCAGATTTACCTAAAAACCAGAGATGTGGACCTTGTCTTAATTTGAAATAAATTGGATTTTAATTCTCGTAACTACTTTAATAATATATTATTAAAGCAGTTATGAGAATTAAAATAAGTATAAGAATAAGAAGTATACTTCTTTGTGAGTTTTATCTGCTGAGAAGAGCTTAAAAAACCCACAAAATATTTCTCACAACAAAAACAAGTAATATTTATTAAATTATTACACATTTGGTAAGATGAAACAAATCAATTAACATCCACCATATGTTGAATTACAGTTTTTACTTTGATGTAGTCATTATTTATTGAATTTTCTGTATCTTAATTATTTTAATTTAATAAATGAGATTAGGTTAGAATAATTAAGCTTGCGTAGTGCAAAATCTAAAGATATTTTAATTTATTTAGCACAAAAACTATTTAATGTTAGAGGATGACCTTTAGACAAATTAAAAGATTTGTTTTTATTACTTTAAACAATTTTTTACTCCTCTTTTTACACTTAGTGTCTATATTTAAGCTAACAAGCTACCAAGCAATAGTCCCCTATGGCACTAATTGCAGCACTAAATTTTTCGTGTGCACTTTAGGGCTTTTGCTAATTTTTTATCTGTGTGCGGATTTGCACTTTGTAATTAAGTTGATTAGCACTAATTTAATTATTTCATTAAGTAAGGATAGTATTATGTTTAACAGCAGATGGAGAAAGCATCTCAAGTCAATACAATGCAGAACCACTGTAAGTCAACAGTGCCCCACTGATGTCTGCTTGTTCTCAGAAGCAATATACTCTAGCCCAGTGGTTCCCAAACTTTTCAGCTTTTGACCCACAAAATAACAGTAGCAGAGACCTGAGCCCACAACTATTTTTGGATGATAAACATTTGTATAACATTTGTCAACTAAACATGGGCATAGTAACAATATTTTTATACTACATTTATCCATTTTAAATATACTAACCTCACTCC